TAAAGTGCTACGCAAATCCTATACAGGTACACCTTTTGATATATAGCTCTTAGCCAAGTTCGGACCAAGACCGAAAACATTCGCCAGTTCTTCAGTTGTCTTGTTTTTTGTCCCTTAATTCTGCGAGCTCACTCATATAGTCTCCTCTGCTGTAGAGAGTGAAAAGAAATACTATTTTTTCCCCACAGTATGGCAATCGTTTTAATGTACCTAAATTTTGGAGACGCTCAGGAAATGCCTTAATGGATGCGATCGCCCTCATGTAAGCTGTCACTTGATCATGATCTCCGGCTAACTCTCTTAACTTTTTTAAATTGCTAAGAAAATCAACAAACTCAGCATTAGCTGCATAATACGGCGTTTTCCTTTTACAAGCATATTTTTCCAGACTAAAATCGCCGTAATTTATGTTGCTGGCAATTAACGAATTATACTGCTTTTGCGTATTTGGCTCAGTTGTCCATAATACATAACCTTCTAAGTTGTCTGCATTATCCAAAAAAAAGCCGGCATTTATGATAAGATAGCAATGAGAATCGGAGGTAATTTCATAATTTCTCATGCGCAACTCTCTCTCAACTCGTTGAAAGCTATGTAATGCAGTAATGATATACCATGCATTACTAGCCGTGTCAACGAGACTTCCTTGTTTTGCTATTAGTCGCGACGCACACAATTTATATTTAGCAAGATTAAGCTTCGTTTCAAGAATGTAAGAGTTTTTGAATATCATTTGACGCTTCAACGTAGTTATCTGAATCTTGTTTCTTACAGGTGGAATTTCCTTGCATACCCGTAGGAAGAAGATAGGTAGCTGCCAACTGTCCAAAAATGTTTTCATCCTATGTTACGTGATGTAATGTATATGCCATTCAGGATATCAAAATTAACACCTTAGCATTTACAAGCTATCTAATGAAACAGGCGAACCCGAGTTCAGAATCGCATCCAGCATGAGCATGTATTTATTGTAAGATGCCACAGCGTCACCCTCTAATTTTTGCTTTAGTAAATTAAACAGTATCTTTGTCGGAGGGTAATGCTTGGAAACAGTGTAATTGTATCGCCGACATAGAGTAGAACTTGTCCTAAGTCGTATGTAACTTAGATCAACTTCAATGTTACCACAATTTTTCACATTTCGTGAGTTTGATGTTTTAACGATACTGCAAGTTCGCGGAATTTTTATGCTGGGAGAAACAGAATCTGCATGCATAGGGCATTTCCATTTTTTAGTACCCGCTGGAAGGCTCGCCAATGGCGGGCTTAGACAATCTGGATGCCAGTATAAGTTACAATAGTCGCAAGATAAAATGTATTTTGAGACCAATGCAGACGTGTTACATCTTTGACAGCAAACCAGCTCATCCGTTTTGTTTTTCATAATGAATATATCACGTTCGTCAGTCACTCCTTTCTCACTAAACTTTGTAATTTTAGACTGGCCTGATGATTTAAACTCACCAGAGCTAGAACAGCCTATTCCAACAAAGTAGTTATATATTTGTGCCGGCAGTCGAAATTGAGACGGATTAGAAGTCGCAGTAATTTGTGTTAATTTTCGAAATACCATGTTCATATCTGAATCTTCATTCGATTCGAAAGTTACATTTTTTAATCCGGTTTTTTTCAGTATACATGTTTTACAAAACCACGATTCATTTGGTAAATTGAATTCATCCAAAGGTGGGTCAAGACAGGAGAAATGAAAGCTGTTGGGACAGGATTCACAGCATAGAAAATTACCAGATCCATTACAGGAGAAGCAGAAATCATTGTTTATTTTTATCGTTGGTGCGTTATGAACGTCTGATAACCCATGAATGTTGTCTTCTTCTGATACAGTTACTGAAGGCGAAGAAAAAGAATCCATTAGTTCTTTTATCTGTTCTCCAAATGTCTTTCTTTCAGGCGATTTTGTTTCTGTTTCAAGCTTTGTTTTCTTTTGGTTTGTCACTGTTTCGTTCCAATTGGAAATTTCTAATTCAATCTCTGAATAACGTTTGACTCTTTTCCGTAATCTTCGTGGCCTTTGACTCGTTCCTCTCTCGGTTGTGACAGAACTAGAAACATCACCATGTTGTCCATTTTGAGACGAGTTCTCCGTATCCGCGGATCCCGACTTTTCAAAGGATTTAGTTTTTTTTTCCGTAATTATTTCTGCAGTTTCATTTTTACCATCCGCGATTGTGTCTAAGATTGAAGACACGCCATCCTTGACGCAGTGTTCAATGAAGTCGGCTTCTTTCTTTAAACTTAATAATTCATCATCTGAAATATTCTCCCAAGGTTTGTGGTCCATAGTTAGTGTTCTTGTGGTCAACAATGGATGCCTTGATAACAAACGACAGTGTGCAATATCGGCAAAGAAGTCATTATAAGAAATAGATTGTATAGCTGTCTAAAAATCACATAAGAAAATTTTTTTTATCGACTAAATCTCTATGTTTCTTTGAAAGTAAATGTAATTCGAAATTTCCTAAAGAATTTGCAGGACCGGCAGATACAATTTCATTTTCACAATGATCACACTTCAGACGAATTGTGAGAGGATCAATTGGATTATCCGATGTTTTTATAATTAACGTGTAATTGTCCATAGGATATCTGCTTTTCAGTTGAGACAAGCAGGGCATCAACCAACTCGGAACACAGTTAGGCGGTTTCTCCAATTCAAAAGTTTGTTGATTTCCTCTTATTGTAATACTAATTACATCTTCGTGCTTATCCGCGGCGGGCATACTTTTTTCTAAGATTTCCTGTGTGCCAAATGTTGAACCCACGCTTGTAGATCCAGCAATCGTATTGCCAATCAGTTGTCGTAGTTTTTCTGAAGGAACCTTAAGTGTAATTATCAACCTTTGGTCACCATCTTTTGTTATTTCTCCAGGAATTGGGAGCGTATCGGAAATATCATAAATCTTTTCATCCGTTAGTATCGTGCCTGATGTGAGTAAGAGTTTATGAGTTTTTGGGATGTCGTTTATATCGGGTAAATTGAGACCACGCTTTAGGCGTCCATAACGCCGCCGTACACGGCGCGTTTCTCGGTCGTAATCTCGATCCATTCTTTCGGCTTCTTCTGAAGAAAAAAACATAACCTCTGGAGTTGAGGTGGTCGTTTTCTTTATTGCGTGAGACAAATGGGGAAGAACAAAGGAAGAAAGTTCGTCTTCATCTTGTTGTTCAGCTAATTCAGTCAAAACCAAGTAGCTGTTCAAGTACAACTGGGCCTGTTCTCTTATACTGTGCGCAATAGCTGTTTTAAAATCTCCAGATAAACCGAGTTCGTCACAAGTAATTGACGCAAATAATTCTGCATCGTTGCTTGAGTTGCTGATGTCCCATTCGACATTGTCAACGTAGTTAACTCGTCCAATTGTAACGTCGACTTTTAAAATAACTCTGATAGCCCCATTTGTTAACGCTGGATAGTATTTTTGACGCTTTTTGTTGTGCAATGTGTTAACGGCCAGCTTGTTTCCTTCTGATGTAGGCGATCACTTTGCATGATGAAGCTGTGAAATT